ATAAAATTTGAAGGTAGCACCATAGGTCGTGTAGAGAATAATACGTGTAGTTCACAAGCATTACAAGTTCTTTGAACTGATTTTCTTAATTTCCTCGTAATTATCTCACTTGATTTTTCTGATTGCAGTAGACTGGATAATGCGACAAATAGCGGGCAATGAGGAAACAGGCATAAAATGGACTCACACAAAAACTTGGAGGATCTGGACTTCGCCGATGATATATGTCTGGTTTCCCAAAAACTGGAAAATATGCAAGTGAAAAGCAACAAGTTGGTAGAAGAAGCATCAAAGGTGGGAAGGACTTCAGGTGAACATAGAGAAAACAGAGGTAACGAAAATTCCTGGACAAGAACAACAACAACAGACGACAATCAGCATAAATGGGAGGGACCTGAAAGAAACAACCTCTTTTACCTACCAACCGACCTGGGAAACATCGTTTCAACTACAGGCGGAACTGACGAGGATATCAAAGCAAGAATCGGGAAAGCAAGACAAGCTTTCACTACTCTCAAGTCTGTGTGGAGGTCAACAGCACTCAGCATCAAAAATAAGATCCGGATTTTCAACTCCAATGTGAAGTCAGTCAGTGCTACTATACGGATCAAAGACTTGACGCGTCATAATGAGCATCTCAAACAAACTACACACCTTCATTAACAGTTGTCTTCGCTCAATACTACTCAAGATCAGATAGCTGGCCAGAAAAGGTCAGCAACAGGGATCTTTGGGAACGAACCAACCAGTAACCGACTGTGAAACAAATAGGCAGGAAGAAATGGAGATGGATTGGCTGGCCATACTCTGAGGAAACCATCAAGTGACATCACTAGACAAGCCATCGCTCGAGTGGAACCCGAAAGGGAAGCGGTGAGTTGGTCGTCCAAGGGTGACTTGGAAGAGGTCATGTGAAGAGGAGATGAAAACGTGTGGGCAGACATGGAGCCAGTTGAAGACTCTAGTAGAGAACAGAACGCCATGGAGACGTGCGGCTGAAGCCCTATGTTCCTCTAGGAATTAAAGGATACAATAATAATAACACAGGAGGTAAAACATCAGTCTGAACAGCTCATTCGTAAGGTCTCTGATTGTAGCACTGGGTGACGACGCGGATTTGGGTCTCAGAAGTGTCAATGTTGCACAGATACACCTTGCCGGCTGGTGAGCAGGTGTTATAAAAGCAACAGAAAATATATGAACAATTTAGTGACTCTAAACTATTGCAGCCCAAAACTAAACTATCTAATTAACGAATTGCTGACTTTGACAAATTTATTTAGAAAAAATTGGTTCCACCTGACTATGAGGACTCCTATGGGGAACTGGGAGGTTTTTTGGAAGATGTAGAAGAATAGTATTCTAAGTAACCATTTTTTTAACATTGCATTACTTGTGTATAGACGTTTATTTCATTCAAATTGCGCACTTCATCTTCTTATGAATCTGATTGGTTGCTAGAAGTAGTTTCGTTTTGAGCTGCTATAGTTTAGAGTCACCAAATGTATTAGTATCTAACTCTCTTCTGAATGGTTCTTCAAGGTCATTCGGTCACGGTTGTTTTGTAACCTCAACCGTATGAGAAAAGGGCGTGAATAAAACCAATCGTTAGATGCTTTTGTGCATAGTATACTAAACACTAAAACGGTTGTTTAGAAAAAATCGATAAAACACTCTAAAAACAGCCAGCAGTACATCCAATATCATTACAATTTATTCTTTTAGCACATAATACAAAATCAGATAAGAGCAACTAATTTGAGGAAATTCAAATCGCCGCTGACTTTCTTTCTGTCTTCTGTTCTTTCAAGTGTGCGGAAACTAGAGGAAAGTAAATTCGTTTTGGTAATGACTTATATACTCACCCATCAACAAATTCAGATAAATTTTAAAATGACTCCGCCTGAAAGAAAGATGAGATATATATACATACTATCATTATCTGATTATCATTTGAGAATGTATATGCTATTTTAAGATGTATATACATAAAGAGCGAGAAAAACAAGAACTATTGAAAAACTTTAAATGCGCATTTATACGCAAAGAAACATGTTGAAACATGATTGCTTAAAAATACAGATGTCTTCCTTAAACACTTAATTATAATGAAATCAATTTCTTTTCCTGACTGCTTTATTAAATTAAATAATTCATCTCATGCAAACTTATTACTACAATTGCATTTATCAATTTCAATGTTTGATAATATAATGATAAATAAATGTACAAATCTCTCTACATTAATCTAGTTGATTCAATGTCCAATGAAATGGGACGCATATTTGACGTTGAATTCATTTGTGTAAATATGATGGGAAGAAAGCAGCAGGTCGGGTGTGAGGACAAATACTCGCCGAAGATATTGGCTAGGGGTCGCCCTATGTCGTGAATTGGCGGAAGTTAGAATTCATGGGCCATTGGATCGCGTCCCAGTGGCTTACTGGTATGCGAGCTCACCTTGTAACCAGAAGGTCCTGGGTTCGAGTCCCGGTGGGGGCGTACTGCTGAAGGGTCCCAAACGGGGACGAAGCAGCTGTCCAGTACTTCCGGGTTTTCCAATGGTTCTCTAACTAATGTCAGCTCAGTTGGCATTTAAAGAGCAACTTATCAGGCTATATATTATTATTGCATGTATTATGAGGTATGATAATGATACTACCTGATACATCGCACACATTAGTAAATATAGTTGTGTTTTTAACCTCTGACTGAATGTTCTTCAGTTCACTGTATAGGCTAACAGCTAACTTACGTTGAATGTTCCCATCTGTAATTGTCTATATTCCATTCATCAACTTTATTCTTTCTTCTGAAGAAACTCCATTGATTGGATTGGCTAGGATATGTGTTAGACACGCTAAACCATTACCTTCCTCATTCAGGATTACACTGGAAAAGAGTTAACAATGTCCAGACCAAAACAAAGCATTAGTTCCCTGAATTTATTCAGTGTTCATCTAAGCTATGTAGACGGATGAAGAATGCCTTAGCTAACCTCCTAAGAATGTCGAAAGTTAGTCATTCGAGACTGTGACGTTGCTCGAAATCTTTTACAATAGAGCAACTCTATTCATCTGTAGAGGTAAGTAAATTTTTTGTTTTATAAAATAATGGCCTACAGCATCATATACATTCAATATTGACGTTTTTTCATTTCAGTGGTTTGGTTATGCTGACTCGTTACAGTCAAACACTAACACAATTTGACAAGCTGTCATATTACATTTGATCGATCATGGAAGGTCTCTATTTAGTTAACAACATATCTCTGTTTGATAACATCAATCCTAAAACATACTTAGTATATTTTAAACTAACAATTGTTGTTATTTAATTCTATTTGAACTTTACCGTTGATTGATTGGACTGAAGTGCTGAGTCTTTGTTGACATGTCGGCTGCTTGTGTGTGGATGCTTCGACAATGTCTGAGGACTAATTTGAAGAAATTTGGTGGATGGTGACTAACAGTGGAATCCACCAGGATGCGCATTTCGTCCAGTTTTGGACTTGTCACCTGGATGTACCTGCATTTCCAGTGAGTGATGGTGTTCCCACTGAAACCCGGACCCAGTGCCTATCAACTAGACCACTTAGGACACGGCAGCCGGGCACTTCGGTTCAATGAATCAACAGGAAAATCATACCCATGGCTCTCTTGACCCAATTGGTCTAGTGAATAACGCCTCTGCGTTCGAAAATTTGAGCACTGGGTTCACGCCTCAGCAACTACACCCCCACTCACTGGGGAGTACAAGTATGTTCAATTGATGAGTCCTCAGTGGGACGAAATACGCATCCTGGTGGATTCCACTGCTAGTCACTATCCATCAATTACTTTAATTTTTAATGTATTTTATCTGAGTTTCAATTTTCTGGCAGATAAACTGAAAGCAATAGATCTTCAGTACTTGATTCAATTCTTGGGCTAAACGGAAGTTTGGAATTTTTGTCTTTATTGACTTTTATTTCGTTATAGGCCTGCTGTTAGAAATCGAACTTTTTCAACTCTACGATCATCGGAGTGATATTTTCAAGTATTGGTTTTGTAAGGATTTTGTTTGATTGCATGGAGGACTTCATCATGAGCTGACATCAGTTAGAGAACCACTGGAAAACCTGGGAGTACTGGACACCTGTGGGTGCGTACAAAACCAATACTTGAAAATTAATCTGATGCTCACTAGTGACTGGCCCTATTCAGGCAGTTAACCTGGGGTTCTAGTGAGAAGCCGTAACCAGTAGGGTACAGCAGGTTGAAGATGAGGCAGTAACTCATCTAAGAAGACATTGCGAAATGGTCGCGCTATGTTGTGAATTGGCGGAAGTTAGAAATCAAGGACCATTGGAACGGGTCCCGGTGGCTCAATGGTCTACGAGCTCGCCTTGTAACCAGAAAGTCCTGGGTTCGAATCACGGTGGGTGCGAACTGCTGAAGAGTCCCAGACTAGGACGAAACAGATGACCAGTACCCCCAGGTTTTCCAGTGGTTCTCTAACTCATGATGAAATCCTCCATTGGAGTGATAATCAAATGTCCTCTCTAGCCGTGCGAATGAAATGATAGCTATCATTTGTAGACATGTCAGGTTTAAATATTGACAATATTTCTGTTGTCTTTAGCATAGATCAGTTTCTTTTTATTGCTTCCTCTACACCATGTGATTTTAATTATGTGGTTCCATTAAATGAAAAAAATGATTTCCACAAAATAGTCAATGTTATTATCTTATTCCTTTGCTTTCCGAGTGGAATATATGGCTTCAAGCTTGAAGTTTGAAGTTTCATTACCAGGGGTGCTTTTTACGTGGTGGGGTTGCTGGTCTCACGTCCAACCTTCCTTCTTTATTGGGATTATAACCGGCTAAGGCAGATAAAGGTGTACACTCGACAGGACTTGAACTCCAAACTATGATTGGCCAACACTCTGAAATTCGCATCACACACGTCATTACCATATTTATGTTTGTATAAAAGCTAACAGAGTACAAAGGGTCAAAATGTCTAAGGGTCAAGAAGATAGGTAAGTGGTAAGAAAAAGGAGTCTAGAATACTATTAGTTAAAACAAACCCTGCTTTTAATATTGCATTGCCAAAGCAGGTTCAAAATAACAACAAATATTTATGAAATACATAGTGTGGTGAGGGCTACTTATAATCAAATATAAGTAGCATATCAGTAAACGAATTGAGGAAAGCAACAATATGTTTCGGACACTGGAAAAAGCAATCAAAGAACAGAACTGTAAGAGTAACGTTAGAAACTTTGTATAGAATCCAACAAGCTAATGAATGTGGTGATATTCGACCAATTTGCACATGATGTGCAAATAAAGCACTGATGATATGGTATAAAAAATTGATATACCCAAGTGAACAGACTGAGATTGTACGAATACAAGTCAAGTGGGATAATTGCCAGTCTGCACACATGTAAGGTGTATATATCATTGATAACACTTCCTTCCGACTGACACAACTGCTACACGTGTATCTTCTTCTTCAGTGAAGACGTCGTGGAATGTGCCTGTCTGCCTGTACATGCCATCATGACACCAGGCACTGGGGCATCTCATCTCACTTACACACCATACTAAGGCGATCGAGTATCATCAATCCTGGTACCATGCTCCGGGACCTCGTAGCTTTTTTCGTCACAATAGAACAGATTTAGGCCTTTATATGTCTAGCACTTCACCAAAAGTAATTGTATGAACCAAATGTGGTATTTTCCATATGGGTTCACAACCATTACTGAAACCACTTCTGTAACCCGTCTGTATGACGTGCTTTGTAACAGATGACCACAGTGCCCAAGTTCTACACTTAAAATAGTGAATTAGACGATATTATTTGTTCTTTCAGCCACTTAAGAATATGTTCTGTGGCTCTAAACTGTAGAGACAGATGGATAGTGCCCACATACATATGGCCACACGTATTGGTAACTGCTGTCTGATGTGACATACTTTTTCGTTTTCTCTATAAATGTCAGCCCAGCTACAAAGTGGGTTTTGTAGTGTACCTCATTCAGTCTTCATTTATTGATGGTTAGACTTTGAAGAATGAATTTATTTAAACGTCTTCTTTGGAAGCTAATTGAACTGATGGACGCTCATATGGTTCAATGAACTTCAGAGGATACTCGTGATCTAATGATCAGGTTTTGAATTTCTTCTTCAGTAGTATCCGCTGTACATTTAACTAACACGCTTTTATGCTGGAGAGGATTACAGGCTTTATTATTATTATTGTTTCTTTTTATTCCTAGGAGAATATAAGGCTTCAGCCGCACGTCTCCATTGCGTTCGGTTCTCTGACAACATTTTCCCTGGCTCCACTTCTTTACACATCTCCTCTCCACATGACCTCCAGATCAAATTCACATTGATGACCAACTCGCTGCTTCTCGTTCGGGTTCCACCCCACAGTGATGTCCTGGCGTGTGATATCCCTTGGTGGTTAGTTTTCTCAGAGTATGGCCAATCCACCTCCATTTCTTCCTACATATTTGCTACACCATTGAATCTGCTGGGTTGGTTCACTCCCAGAGATCCCTTTTTGTCGCTGATGTTTTCTGGCTGGCCATCTGATCTTGAGTATTGAGCGAAGACAAGTGTTGATGAAGTTCTGTAGTTTGTTCGAAGTGCCCCTTCGTGATGCGCCTAGTCTTTGATCCGTATAGTGAGTAGCACTGACTTCACATTCGAGTTGAAAATCCGGATCCTGTTTTTCATGCTGAGTGCTGTTGATCTCCACACAGACTTGAGAGTAATGAAAGCTTGCCTTGCTTTCCCTGTGATCCTCACTTTGATGATATCCTTATCAGTTCCATCCGCCTGTAGTTGAAACGACGATGCTTTCCAAGTAGGTAGGTAGTCAGCTAAAGGAGGTCGCTTCCTCCATTTTTTTCTCACTTATGCTGGCTGATTGTTGTCTGTTGCTGTTGGCCAGGAATCTTCATCACCTCCTATCTTTGACGCTTCTTCTGTCAACTTGTTGCTTCCCACTTGCATATTTTCCAGTTTGTAGGAGACCAGACGTATATCATCGGCGAAGTCCAGATCCTCCAATTGTTTTGTGTATGTTATTTTTATGCCTGTTTCTTCGTTCCCCATTGTCTGTCTGTCGCATTATCCAGTCTACCGCTATTAGGAAAATCATTGGAGATAGTAGGCAGTCTTGTCTTAATCCCGTCTTCACTTTGAAGGATTCCGTCAGTTTCCCGTTGCGTCGGTAGCACAGTGGTTAGGACTCTAGTCCACCATGCACATGGTCCGGGGTTCGATACCCTGTCGACGCACACCTGATGTCTATGGTCGGCCTGCAAAATTTGGGCTACCGATATCCATGCTGAAAATTCCATACTTGTACTGAAAATACGGTGTGGCATCAAGCTGTAATCAGAATAAAAGAATAAAACTCAATTTTAAGACCAAACTTCACTTCACGTAATAATGTTTTCATCACCATTTTTCGTAACTTCTTATCTGATATCTTCAACCCTAAACATTTTGATCTATACTGATGCAATTTGGACCCTCTGTACACGAGTGAGGATGCCTAGAATGTGTTGCATGAACACACTACGCGTTTCAGGTCATTTACCTCTTCTTAGTGTTTTATCAAAATCCATAAAGGGAACTAGTCAATCTGAATTTGAAAAGTAATTACTATAAACATCAATGTATTGTGCAATCATTATTATATATACCTTCAAGGTTAGAATTAGGTCACAAATCAACTTTTATTCTGAATTCATTAAAGGTGTACAAACCTAAAAGCCTGACTGTCAACCACCGTTCTATTCAACAAAATTGACTAATATTGAGTTAAAATTTGTGAGTAGTGTACAGAAAGACACCTCATATCCTTCTGTTAGATGTTAGGTGAACTGGCAAGATTTAAGCAGCTAAATATAATAATTATAATAATAATTTACTTTATTCCAAAACAGTACTTGTGATACAGAATGGAATTCTCAGCATTTTTTTACTACAGTATTGCATCCAGTTAGTACATTATCAATGAATAGAATTCAACATAGATTAAGCAAATCTCAGTTCATTATGACAACAACATATTGGCGTGTCGGTAGCAAAGCGAAGTTTGAACAGTGTTTGAAGGTGTTAGAAAAGTAGGTGCTATCATATTTACTGGCGTAAGCGGAAGAAAGAAACAAAGCAGAACATAACGGAAAAAAAGAAAAAAAGAGAAAAAGAAAAGAAAGAAAATGTTGTACCTATAAGTGATATGAGTTGGAAAGACAAGGTCCAGTTGTTCTACTGACTATTTAATGAGTTATAGGTATCACGCCTAATGCTTTCTTTATCGCACAGAACACGAGCTAAGTAGGGTATGGTTGAGTTTTCGTACTTGCTGATGCGAGCATATAGTTTTCTATATAGGCTTCTGGTTTTGCCTGATGAGATGCAAGGGGAGAGTTGTGAGTGAAGAGGGTAGTGTGAGTTAGATAAAATGGATTTGGCCCATTTCTCACATAAGTCCATGTGCCTGTCAACCAGAATATTAACAAGCTGGTCAAGTGGCACGTTGCTTACCCTACTGACAACCGATATCTATGGTCAGCCTGTGAAATTTGGGCTACCGATATCCATGCTGAAAATGCCATACTTGTACTGAAAATACGGTGTGGCATCAAGCTGTAACCAAAATAAAAAAAAAATAAAAAAAAATAATATGTTATGGTCTTTCTTCAGTAGCCCAGGAAAAACTAAGGGGGAACAATAGATAATAATAGGTAGAATGCGAGAGTTAACAAGTTGTAGGAGTTAGGGTTGGGTTATACCAGAATGTTTTAACTTTTTGATGTAGAAGGTAAGACGGAATATTTTCTTAGAAATCGCCAAGATATGAGACGACCAGCAAAGATCAGCAGCTAGAATGACGCCTAGGTATTTAATTTCCGACTTGGTTTCTATTTCAGTGCCATCTATGTTGCACACCTTCTGAGAGCTAACCAGTTTGTTTAGGTCAGATTTATGCCTAAAGGTAAAATTGACTGTTTGGCATTTGGAGGGGTTTAAGGTAAGACCGTTTTCCTTGGACCACTGGCTGATTTCTGATAAAAAGCCATTTAGTTTAGAGGAGTCACTTTGACATTTGACAGGCAAAGATACAGTCAGGTCGTCAGCATATTTAACAAAATTAATGTCCACTGAAGATGGCAAGTCATGTAGAAAGAAAGAAAAGAGAAGTGGGGAGAGTACAGCACCTTGGGGGATACCAGCTTCAGTGAGTGCAGCAGAGGAGGATTTACCTTTGTAAACCGTGTACTGCATTCTGTTAGAGAAGTAGGAATGCAACCAGTTAGTGACCCAAATATATTTTATTCTCAAGTAAATGCATGGTGAACTTTAGTATCAGTTCTTCAAAGAATTCTATTAAGATCCCAATATTCATTGACTGTTCGTTTAGTTGTTGCTAACCAACTCATTCAGCAGTATAGCTATGCATGGTGGTATTACGTTCAAGGATAATATCACAGTGTCATCATTGATGTGTTACATCTTTAACTCTAGAGGAGGGTGGACATTTTGGTCCAATCAATCGGCGAGTATATCAAAATTGAATTGAATAATAACTCCTACCCATTGCACAAGAGGTGGCTCTCGTGGGCTGAGTGATCCAGTCGACAATGCTTTGCGTTTGAAACTATGGGTACATGGTTTCGAGCCTCAGTGGGAACACTATCACTAACTCCCTGGGGAATGCAGGTACATCCAGATGAAGAGTCCTAAATGGGATGAAATGCGCATCCTGGTGGATTCCACCGCTAGTCACCATCCAACAGACTCCTTCAAATTAGTCCTCAGATATCGTCAAGGCACTTGGCAACATTTCAACAGAAACCAAACGTTTCGGTCTGATCAGTCAGTGGAAAATTTTAAATTGAATTAAATATCTTTAACTCTGTCTTCAAATTTCACGACATCTATTATATTATCTTTTACTATATATATGTTAATGTAAAGGTTTCAAAATAGTTTGTGTGTGTCGAGAATTCGTCTTAACGGCTTTTCTAAGTTTATGTACTTTGTGCAATCCGTATAATCTGGATGTGTGTACGTGTCTGTCGGTTGAAGTTCATGATATAAGCTTGCGGAAATTATTTAACCCTCCTTTAATTTCTTCAAACTTCTGGTTACTTTCTTCTCTATTTTATACACAATTCTTCTTATATGACTGGGAGAAAACAGGTAACTGAACCCCCATACAATTTCAATTAGGAGAAATGTTTGACGTTTAATTCTTATTTGCGAATGGAAAACTTATGATGTGAATATTTTGTAGAGAAAAATATTCCTTTTTATTCCTTTACGTTCCTAGTGGAAAATAGGGAGCTTCAAGCTAGAGACTTGAATTTTCAGTAACAGTGGTGTTTATATTTTTGTGGGATGGGGTTACTAGTCTTATGTCCAATATTCCCTCGTTATCAGTCTTATTACTGGCTTAACGAGATTTTGGAGTGCGTTGGGTCAGGATCGAACCACGAACCAAATGCATGGTTGGCGAGCATTCTACCCTTGTGCCACCAACGAAAATGTGACTACAATATTTGCCCATAAGGTTCTAGTAAGTCACTCAACCTCCTGTATCTAGAATTAATGAACATACTCCTAGATATAACACATACACTAGGCTCACTTCAGTAATGTATTATTATATT